CAAGGACAGCCCTTATCAGAGCTACGGCTTGCCCAACGTCATCCAGCCAGGTGCAAGTGGAGGAGTGCGGAATCAAACCCGGTTCTCCCAGATTAGAGTCCGTGCACTTAACAACGACACCAGACTGGCTCCCTCATGGCCTTAAGGGGGAAAACAACAACAAGTGTTTTCCATCAGTCTGTGCTAGAAATAGAGGTAGATATTTCATGGCTAGGAGGTGAAGATAGGATCAATCGTCTAGCACTCTTCCCCAAATATGGAGCATAATGAGATGATATGGGATGAAAAGAATTGAGGAAGTGAATGGCAATAGAGACTGGATTCTAAGCGCTAGGTGGGAATGAACAGGAAAGGCCATAGAGTGTAGCTCCTGCCATGAAGAGAGATTTGATTTATACCCCGCCCTTCACTACCCAAAGGTGTCTCAGAGCGGCTGACAAACTCCTTTCCCTTCCCCTCCCCCCAACAGACACCCTGTGAGGTAAAAGAAGAAGAAGAAGAAGAAGAGATTGGATTTATACCCCGCCCTTCCCTACCTGAAGGAGTCTCAGAGCGGCTTACAGACTCCTTTCCCTTCCCCTCCCCCCAACAGACACCCTGTGAGGTAAAAGAAGAAGAAGAAGAAGAAGAGATTGGATTTATACCCCGCCCTTCCCTACCTGAAGGAGTCTCAGAGCGGCTTACAGACTCCTTTCCCTTCCCCTCCCCCCAACAGACACCCTGTGAGGTAAAAGAAGAAGAAGAAGAAGAAGAGATTGGATTTATACCCTGCCCTTCACTACCCAAAGGAGCCTCAGAGCGGCTGACAAACTCCTTTCCCTTCCCCTCCCCACAACAGACACCCTGTGAGGTAGGCGGGGCTGAGAGAGCTCTTTCCAGAACTGTCCTTGAGAGAACAGCTCTGAGAGAACTACGGCTTGCCCAAGGTCATCCAGCAGGTGCAAGTGGAGGAGGGGGGAATCAAACTCGGTTCTCCCAGATTAGAGTCCGCGCACTTAACCACTACACTACATGTCACCCTGATTATAATGTGCCACAAACAGAAATTGGGAATGACCCACGTACACCATGCCAGCGGCGCTTACAGGCCACCAGCATAGAAAGACTTTGCACCACAGCTCTCCAGCACTGAAGAAGAACTCAACTCTTCTTTTAGGAACAAAAACTAGCATGGGATGCAGCTACGCGATCCGCCACTTCAAGGCTTACCCAGCTACCCTGTCTCTACATAGGTAGTACAGCCTGCAAAAAAATAATAATAATCTCTTAACTCAAAAGGTGATATGTGGAAACCAAAGCATTTGTGGTTGGACAGAAGGATGAAACATGGTCAGAAAGTCTCAGACGATTTTATGAATGCACACACCCACACATTTATAATTTTTTTAAAAAATCTAATGAAGATTTGGTCTGGCACAGCCATTTCTTTCTCACGAGTAATTCCTACGACAATTAATTCTGAAAAATTCAAAACCCACTGTGTCTTTTTTAATGTCTCTGCCGCACTGAATGTCGATCTGTCCTTCCAAGTTGGAAGTGTTTCGTTCCTTTCCTCTTTCCAGCCTAACGCTGAAGTCGGCTTGCCTTGCTTTTCCAGATCTGCCCCACAGATAGAATGGGAGAGAAAGAGTGAAAAAGAAATAGACCCAAACGATATGGAGAACTCAGCAAGATTCCTCCTCGCTCCATGTCTGTGTGGCAGAAACCTGGGGGAGAATCCTACCCTTCCTATCATTTCCCCCATCATTCCTCCTCCAGCTTCTCCCTAACTTCTAAAGGCAGTGACTCATAGAGTGCGCTCTCCACCTCCAGGCCGGAGCGCTTGAGGGCGCGGCACATGCAGATTTCCTGGGGCAGGAATTCAAGTTGGTTCCCTTTCAGCTCCAGAGTGGTGAGCAGAGTCAGGCCGCCCACGCGCGGAGTGAGGTGATGCAGTTTGTTGTGCCCTGCTTTGAGAGTCTTGAGTTTCTTGCACAAGAAGAGTTCGTCAGGCAGCACCTCCAAGGAATTGTGGGAAATGGCAAAATGCTGGAGGTTGTACAGGGCCCCCATCCCGGCAGGGATGACCCAGATGTTATTGTTGGAAAGGTCCAGATGACGCAGCTTACTGCACTGGAATAGCTGGTGGGGGAGGGCCTCGATACGGTTGTGGCTGAGGTCGAGGCGCTCCAAAGTCTTGAGCTTGCGGATGTGATCGGGGATGGTGGCGATGTGGTTGCACCACAGCTTGAGACACGTCAGCTTGCGGCAGTGCTGGAAACTGAGGATCTCCTCGATGGAGTGTAGCTGGTTGTCTTTGAGATCCAGCTCCTGCAGGTTCACCAGGCTGAAGACCGCGTGGGGGATGCGTTCCAGACTGCAGTTGATGAGCTGGACTTCTTGCACAGAGAAGAGCTTCTTCAGGTTGTTGAGCGTCACTAGCTTAGTCCCATCGTTACGGATGACGACCTTCTGCAGATGACTGGCAACGTCAGTCACGCTGGGGGGCAGTTTTGAGATATTGCTGTGCAGCGTCAGGGTTTTCAGGTTCTTGAGCTCACGCAGGCTTTCCAGAGTTCCCGTCCGGCCGATTTCCTGGCTGAAAAGCCCCGAGATGTGCAACTCCTCCAGGCTCCTCAAGTTGTAGGTCCACAACGGTATATCTTTTATCTCATCGAACCTCACGTTCATCACCTTCAGCTGCTCACGGAGGAAGAGGAGGCCAGTAAAAGGCAGCTTAACGGGACAGTTGATCAGGGAGAGTTCCAGGAGGTTGACCAACTGAGTCACTGAAGTCGGGAACGTAACGTCTTTGAGGAGCTCCAGTTTCAGGGACTCCACCTCTGTCAGTTCAAAGACAGTGTCAGGCAGTCCGGGGAGCATGAAGAGGTGGAGTTCCAGCCGGCCGTGAGGGTTCTTCTGCAACTTCTGTCGCAGCTTCTCGACCGTCCACTCGTGATTGAGATTGAGCTGGGCGAGCTTGCACTCGCTGACTTCCGAGAGGAACACGGCAAACCGCTTAGAGTAGAGGGAATCATACTGGTCGATCAGATGGAGCATGAAAGCAAAGTCGTTCTTGACATCGGGAATGTCGCTGATGCCTGTCTCCTCGCGTGCGTACTTGAAGGAGTACTCTTTCAGGGGCCGGTGGAACAGCCAGTAAAGAGTGTAGAGACAGGTCATGCCGTACATGCCCAGGAAGCAGATGTAGCAGATGGCTAGCTTAGAGAACAGGTGTGCCTTGGTGTGATTACAGCAGAAATGGTCATAGCCCGTCATGTCTTTCATCTTGACACTGCACGGCACGATGAAGCTGATGTTGTGAACGAGTGCGGCGTTATAGGAGGTGATGACCAAGAACTTGCAGACTTTGAGGATGGTTTGGCGGATGTACATGGCATAGAGGATGTCTCCTTTTTCCACGTGGAGCCGGAACTTCTTCACCTTCTCAAAGAGAGCCTTGGCCTGCTCCCCTTCCTTCTTGTCGAGGAGGCTAATGGGGGCGGACTCTGCAACCTTCTTATCGGCAATGGACCCCCCTGTGGGGTTGAGCTCAACGGACTCACTGGAAGCGCTGCTCTTCCTTCTCCGGTCCCTCTTCGCTGGGCTTGCGTTGTCCTGGTTCTCCACGGAGACCTCAGAGATGGCCCTCGTCGTCCAAGGCGAGTCGAAGCACTTGCTCAGGATGGAGATGAAATGTTCAATCTTTGAACTGGTACCGGGAAACTTGAACCAAAAAGAAGCGCACACCATGAAGATGAGGGTGTGGATGACGACGAGGTAGGGGAAGTACTTGGCATACCAATGCAGGGCAGTCTCGTAGCACATCTGATTGATGTAGCTATACTGCTGGAGGTCTAGGTTATTCTGTAACCCACTCGTTTCCTGATGGGTGGGGGACTCCGTCATCTCAGAGGCATTTATTATCTTCTTGGTGAAATCTTCACAAGTGGCGTCAGCAAAGGACGTGCCACGGGGGACACGGTTGGGAAGGCAAATGATCTTATCCTGTGTCACCTGTCATGTCGGAGAAGAGAAAAGAGGGAACATGATGCATCACAGAACACGGGAGAACAAAGGACACACGCGTGGGCTCTGCAGTGGGAATGAAACAGAAGCCAGGCTGGGACCCAGGGGTCATGTCCTGCGGGAGCGCACAGGAGCGGAGCTCCGGCGGTAAGGAGCCCAGGGAGTGGGCACATGCAACAAGCCCCGCCCCCTGCTCCCAGCAGCCCTCAGTCAGAGCAAGAAGCAGCCAGGTAAGCTGCAGAGCCCCCCCCCCAGGCCCACCTTCAGGTACAAGCTCTCCCTCCTCTGCGAGGACAGATCT